AGAACATGCTAGCCCTTCATAATTTTTTGAGTTCATCCAACTAGTTTGGCATTGAGGCTTAGTCAATTGATTCTTGATTAATCCAGCTTAATAAATAACCAACTATATGCTGATGTCGTAAAAGCCCATCCCCTTTTTTTCAGTACATATTAAAGAAAAGAGTACTGAAGCTGCTAAATAAGTGTCTCATTTGCCAATACATAGTTGATCCACATGTTAGATCAGCTTGAATACGTTTCATATACTTGAGCTTCTTATTATGTGCTTGATGTTTTCCACTTCCATTTTGGTACTTATGGTTTTAAGTGGAAAGGCTATGCTTAATTACAAAACTGATGTTGTGCATAAATAGTTGAATTGCATTCAGTGTTAGTCAGTAGCTAAACAAAATTATGCTTTTCCTACTGAGTGAATGATCTTCTATCTCTAAAAGAAAAGGAAAACCTTGTATAAAGATACGGTTTGCCTGCTGTAGGGATTTGATTCCACAATCTCATAAATGTGCTCCTGGCTGTTCTGTGTACTCCAAAAGGAAGCGAAGAACTTCAATTTATTCTGCTCCTTTAAAGTATTGACATCCTCTGCCTTCCAAGTAGCCCATACTATGCATGCAGGAGAGCTATCAATGTCTTGTTATGTCCACACCTAAGCCTTCCTGATCTACATGCTGCTAAGCACCTCTTCCCACTCCCTGTTGCATAGCTCACTCATGCTTAGCACATTCAACATCAGTGCATCAGGTACAGGGTCGGTCCTACTTCCCTACCAATTGAACAACAAAGCATTGGATTCCGCCTCATTTGTCCTACTTTCTGATGCAGTAGTAGAATGATAAATGTATTCCCCTGCCTCTTTATCCACAAAGTATTCAGGACTTAATATTTATATTGGAACAGCTGGTAATTTCATGATCTGTCATTTGCCTAAAAGAAAATTGTTTTCTTTTGGATGCTTGTTTATTTATTTATTTATTACTTGTCACTATTTTATCCGGTTGTTTCTTTATTAATTAAAGGAACTAACAGGCTTGTATTTCTCCTTCCTCTTCTTTGAATCAGCTGAGAGGAGTTTCTACTTTTATGCAAGAGATGCTTGAGACTGCATCGATCTTGAAAGGAGCTACTGATAGATCATTGATTATAATTGATGAGTTGGGCCGTGGGACATCAACCTACGATGGCTTTGGTGAGTTTCTGATATGTGAATTTATATAAACATCTTTCTTAAAATTTCACCACTCACCTTTGCTCGACTTGCTCTTGTATTGTTGCATCATTACATGATATAGATGTGTAGGACCTGTCATGTAACCCATTTGAAGCTTCCACTTTAAGAGACTTGAGCTAATTTCATTGGTATTAGATTCTTCGTTAAACATTCTTTTCCACCTAGGGATGGAGCGACAAGCAGAGTAACAACCGTTACATGTACCATCCTCATATGTTTTCTGGTAAATATTCTCGTCATGGCATAGTAGTATCAGTCATGATATTTCTGCAAGAAATCTATAATCTGGTGATTTTATGAACTTTAAAGCCAGTTACACTAAAGTGTGGATTTGGGCTATCTGATGCATATTAGTGAAAGGCATTGCAGGCAAACATTTGAAATAGTAGGATTATGTTGGAGAGGCACGTATGGAAAGTTGGCATTTAGTGGGTGTTGTGAACTGAGTGTACATGAAATATACTGCCGATTGTCATAAACTCTGCTAAAGTATGGCTCTCCTGCTATTTATTCTCTTGAAAACATCTAAACTAAGTAGGAAACAAACTCCTACAGAGTGAGTGCTCATAGTTTCACCGTGTTCTAGTATATATGTTTCTGCAAGGTAAGTTTGTAAAGGCTCAGATTCTTGATAATACAAAAAAATTAAAGCATGAGCTGATGGGCAGAATCAAGACTCCATGTGATTGCCTTTTTTTTTAAATCTTTGGGGTTCATGCCATTCTGTTTTTCTTCATACTGCTAACTTTGTTTCTGCTTCTGCTTGTGTCTGCTTGTGAGTTTCACTCTGGAAATGTGTTCATAACTTTGTTTCTTTCCCATGTACTGGGAATGAACTATTCCATGCTACTTTTCACTTAAGTCTGCCTTTTTTATTAGATATAAGCTTATCTTCTATCGTTAAATATGACGTCGGGTGGGTTACGGTTGGCATGCTTATTGTATTCTCTCATGGCATATGAATTAACTATTTTATTCTCTACTACAATCAATATCAATGAAATTTAAGATAAAGCATGATCGATTATTTTGCTGACTATTCTTCCACAACCTAGTCTGACGCAGGCTTGTAAATGCTATATTTAACTCAGCCTCATGGAAAACTACTTGAGCTTAATGAGCAGTTAGTTCTCTTTCATTTTGTCCACTGTAGGAGACTATGGCTTCAAATACACTCAGCTTGAAGCCATGTCTGATCTTAACCTTTTGTATCCTAAATATTGGCAGGCGCGGAAAGAATGTTCTTTTTCTTTCTTTTGGGGGTTCTCTATTTGAGCGTGAGCCTTGCTGAACTGGAGTTATTTCTTTGGCAACTTTGTTATGTCATCAGGTTGTTTTTCTACTGCTTCATAACTGTATTCGTGTATTTTACTCACGTTATCAGGTTTAGCTTGGGCTATTTGTGAGCACATTGTTGAAGAAATTAAAGCACCAACATTGTTTGCCACTCACTTTCATGAGCTGACTGCATTAGCCAACAAGAATGGAGACAATGGACATAAGAAAAATGCTGGGATAGCAAATTTTCATGTTTTTGCACACATTGACCCTTCTAATCGCAAGCTAACTATGCTTTACAAGGTATGTTTATCTTCCTCTCTTTCTGGCTACTTCTGACTCGTTCTCATCATTTGCGAATAATATTAAAGTGATATGAGTAGTTTCTTTCCTGATAAACTTATCATAAAAAAGGTTTCTTTCCTGATACTTTTGTTACTACCAGGTTTGAGAAAGTTTGAGCTTTATTTAGGAAGATATTTATATATTGTAAGAGAACTTTGTATCACTTTTATAGTGGAGTGGCAGCTTTTATAGATACCACAAAGATCTTATCTTTACATGCATCCGTGTACTCTGAATGAAATAATTAAGTACATTTGCGATGCTTGGACAGTTTCACGATAAACAGAGCAAGAATGAAGAAGATACATATACTCGTTGAAAGGAAGCTTAAGCTTAAAGAAATTCTGTGTTTACTAGGATAGTTATGCCACTGGTTGACGTTGATATCTGATGTTAGTAGGGATGATTGTTTCTGTCATTATTGGTAGAAATAGGAGACATTCCATTAGGTAGAAGTATAAAAGCTTTTAGTTTGGCAGCATCTGCCTGTGCGTTTATAATGATGTATCATGAATCAACACTAACACAAGCTATGTTAATAATAGTAAGTGTAGATGTTGCTTATCAGAAAAAAGATAAAAAGAGCACCTGTGACATATTATAAACATGTAACTTCACTATGCTGCTTAATAGCTCATCAAATGCAGCTTATGGTGAGCAGTGAGTACTTTCCTGAAAGTGATTAGTTAGTAAAGCTCGGTATCCTATTTATAGCAGAATATGTTTTATGAGTTTGGCTTCACATGCTATTTTAAGTTTATATGGTGTGTGCACAAACAGTCAAAAGGTCAATGGAATTAATTGATTTCACATGTTTTAATTTCTGAACTGTTGTAAACGGGAATATATGTGATTTTCAGTTCAAGATTTACCTGCTGATACTCACTTCTTAGCTGATTGTTTAAAGTCCATGTTACAAGGATATACACCATTCTATGATGTGCCAATACATGTGATATTTTCCACTCTACCTCTCCTGAGTTCTCTGAAAGCTTGTTAAAAATTAATGAAGGCACTGGGACGGAAATCAGAGCGATTTTGGCTTTTGGGTGCTATAAGCCATAAGACAGCTATTTTTGCTGTTGGAGTCTATAAGCCATGTTGAATATGTTTTAGTGGAAAGGAGAATTACAAGGCCTAATCACATCATGGACCGAAAAATTCTTATGCTTTTAGAACGTGAGCAGTTGCAGCATCTGACCGTTGTACTCTTCCAGGTTCACCCAGGTGCTTGTGATCAGAGTTTTGGTATTCATGTTGCTGAATTTGCAAATTTTCCACCGAGTGTTGTGGCCCTGGCTAGAGAAAAGGCATCTGAGTTGGAGGATTTCTCTCCTATTGCCATAATTCCAAATGACATTAAAGAGGTATTTTCATTTGGTTACCTTCCTATGCTCATCGCGAAAATCAATAAAAATTCTGCTTCCTTATCTTTTTTAATTTAGGGTCATGTCTACACCCTGTCTAGAGGCATTTTTATATCTTACCTGTTTTAAGATTATCAAATGGGTTTAGATATAGGTGATAATGTAAAAATGCTTGCTCTGCTATTTAAGCACTTGGTAATCTTAATGTTTTGAATCCCATTTGATGCTTTTGAATGGTCAATGGCAGTGGCGGACCCAGTATTTTGTGCAAGCGGGTTTAATCTTAGAAGTACATAACTTTAGTCGTAAAATAGTAGTTGTCA